CATTCTTTTGCCCAGGCAGCAGTCTAGGCACAGGCCCACATGCGCACCACCCGTGCACGCGGCACGCTGCGAAGCCGCACGGTAGCAACAAACTCGCGGCGACACCCACCGCTTGCAGGTGCCGTTCACGCGGGCAAACCCCTGGGCGCACTCATTGCAGCGCAGGCCCTGCTTGGTGGGGCTGCAGAACACGCAGCCCAGGGGGCACAGGGCGCAGCTGCCGCTGGCGGGGTTTAAGTAGGCTCCCTGGGGGATGCCCTCGGGGGTCGTCCGCCACGACCCATGAATGCACGCGTCGCACTTGGAGGGGGAGCTCCGGCAGCTGCCGCACAACGGGTCCTTGCTGCAGCGTCGGGTTGCAGGCGGGCGGGCAGGCCGAGGAAGGGTGGTCAGGGCGTCAAGGGGAGGGGGGGCTCTTGCTGCCAGGTCGCTGCCGCGCATGCTTATGCGGCCGAGCGAGCATCCCCCCCCAGCACCGTCAATGGAGGATCAGAGTCACGGGCTGACAGGGCTGTAGGGATTGAGTGCTTGGCCCGAAGGAGTGGACTGTACAAGCTGCCCGCGCAAGGCGCAGGCGGCAGCAGCCGGCCCGCTCACCAGCACTGGCAGGAGGGACATGCCCTGGCACCCTGGCATCAACCACTCGGCACTCACCACCACCGGCAGGAGGCGGAGATGCCCGGCCACAGCTCGGTGCAATTGCTGCAGAAGCCGTCGGCGCCGCAGTGCGACCGCGCGGTCCGCTCGCACGCGTCGCTGTCGCAGGCAATGCACGCGGAGTCGCGGCAGCGCAGGCACTTGCCGGAGACCATTTTGTAGCCGTCGAAGCAGGCGCGACAGGAGCCATCCTTGTTCACAGTGCTGCAGCCATCAGGCATCTGCAGGCAAAGTGCAGCAGGGGGGAGCAAGGAAGGATGGCTGGTTGGGCGGCTGGTTGGGCGTGAGTAGCAGCATGGATGGGAGGGACACAACGCATCCCCCGCCTGGGCACCAACAGAGGCCCGCCGAGCAGCAGCTGCAAGAACACCAACAATACGGTATGGTGTGGCAGAGCTCCCCACGCAGCTGCAGGGCATGGCTGCGCTCCTCACCTTTTTGCAGAAGCCCTTGCCATCAAAGTAGTAGCCAGCACCGTCGCGGGAGCAAACGAGGCAGGAGCCCTGCCTGGCCTGCTCGCAGTCGTCGCAGCCCTCGGGGCACTTGACGCACGCGCCGCCTTTGAAGCCAAAGCCGATCGCGCACCTGCCAGGTGGGCAGGGGTTTTGGGTTCAGTTGCGGGGGCTGCGCAAGTGGAGAGATTCGCCGGGGGGCAGCACCGCAAGCGCTGGCACGGCTGGCTGTTGGCCCGCTGGCCTGCTCTCGCCCTGTTGTTCCCATCGCAGGCCCCAAAACTTGGCCCAACCCTCGATTCGCCGCCCCCTCGACCTTCCCCCCTCAAGCATGAGCCTCCACGGCCAGCTGCATGCCTCGACTCCCTGCCTACCGCATGCCCTGCACACCCGCGCCAACCGCCCCAGCACTCACTGCTTGCAGGTCTTGCCGTTGGCACTGCAGAGGCGGCAGTTGGCTATGAAAGCAGAGCAGGGCACGCAGCGCCCGTCCCGCAGAATGGTCAAGCCGCCCTTCTTGCAGTTGGTGCACTCCCCTCGGCCGTTGCACGCCAGGCAGCCCTTTTCAATGGTGTGCATGCTGCAGGGTAACAGCGGACAGATGGGCAGCACCCCTTCAAGCAGGCAAGCGGCTACGCTGCTAGCTTGGTTGCTAGGTTGCTCCGGGTTGTGCATGGCATCGACACGAGAGCCGCCATGCAAGCAGCAGGGGAGGCAAGGCAAGGGGCCCCGCAAGCAGGCGGGGTGGGCAGGGCCGCCCCTCCATCAGAGCCGCCCCTGCACGCACACTCACCACGACTCGCACGCCCCCGACTTCTCGTCTCGGTACACCATTCCATAGTCCTCGCCCCAGTAGCTCCTGCGCGGGGGGAGAGGGGGCGATTCCCTTCTGTCACCTGCTGTTGCTTGTTTCCCATCCCGCTTCGGGGGTCAACCGCCAGCTGTGAGTCCTTCCCAGAGGAGGCATGTGTAGACATTTGGGGCAGGGTAGTGCACATGAGCCCAGCGGGCAGCGGCTGCGCGGTTGGCGGGAGACCAGCGGGCACTGAGCGCGACCCTCGCCATGCTGAGCGCCGTTCACAAGCTGAGAGTGAGGCGAGCAGCTCAGCTCTCACCAGTAGGGCTCCTTCTGGCACTGGTAGCACTTGGAAGGTTTGGCTGGGTCGCACTGCATGGTGGTGGGGGGTGGGGGGTGGGGCGGCATTAGTGCGGCGCCGCCAGCCCGCCAGGTGTGTACAAAAAAAGTCCCACAGGCGCCGCGGCGGCTGGGCATGTGCACATGTACGGAAGTGCACGGCTTCCCGCCCCATGCGGCACAGCCAGTTACCTACAATCAATTCCTGCTGCCTCTCCCAATGCATGCCCCGGGGGGGGCCAGGCTGACCGCAGCTCTGCGCAGCCCGCACCACCCCGCCCACCCACCTTCCCACACAGCTCGGCCCACCCACCCCGCTCAGTGCAGCTGGAGCCCACTCACCTTGCCACACAGCTCGTCCTTGCACTTCACACACTTGCCACTCTTTGGATCCAGTACCGTGGCGCCCTGCGTTGAAGCAAAGTCGCCGCACTCCGTGCAGCGCCCGTCTGCGTTGCAGCGCGTGCAGCCCGAAAACGCGCCTGGTGCCGTGCACCTGCCACGGCACATGGGGCAGGGCAGGCAGGTCAGCGCCGGGGGCAAGAGGGTGGGCGTCACGCTGGCTCACCTGCGGCCCGGCGCTGCTGGCCAGGCACGCCGCCATTCAAGGCCTAGCGTTGCCGGGCAAGCAACCAAAGGCAGGGCAGTTGGGTGGGAGGAGGGTTTTCTGCTCGAGTGCAGCTGCCGATGTGGGCCTCTGTGCTTGGGGGGCAGGCCTGGAGCCGCCAGCCAGCCGCAAGCTCAAAACCCTCTCCCCTTTATCTGCTTGCCAGTGACACCACCCNCCCCCCCCC